ATCTGATTTCCTGTTTCCAAAGTCATGGGAACCTCAGTCTCCCGTTAAGAACTTTTGACTTCCTAACTCTTTACGAGAGCTGCAGGCTGGAAGGCGTCCGTCTTCGGCTGCAGCTGTTCGCCGAACCTCTGCAGTGACTCAGCTCGGAAGATGTGCATGTTTTGAGAAAGCCCGTCCCTCCATCTGCCGCCTCCTGCTGTTTATTAGATGTTAGAGCGAAACTAGCCGGACGAGGCGACGCGAGGGAAAAGGCCGAGGCCAGAAATTCAGCGTAAGCCATTAAAGGTTGCGGTTAAACTCTAAAGGGGGCCGCGTGAATCCGTCAGATCACAGCAGCAGATGTGTTTTGATGCTCGGTGCGGCGGCCTGTCTGCCGTCACCAGGCCGGAGCAGAGGGACCTTTAAGCTCCTCGCGGTGAATAGATTTCATCTTTTTTTAATTGAGTCTGTCAAATTTCACAACCTCGAGAGATCCCAGCTGTCAGATAAACACAAAGAGTCTCCAGCTCTGTTAAATACATCTTTAAATAATTAGTCCAGTGTGCGTCCGGCCTCCTTAAAGTCGGTTTGGGTTGTTTTTTTGGCTAAATCAGCCGTGACCCTGTAATGGAGGGAAAATGTACAGTACGGTTTTCCCCCTCATGTACAAATATGGAGCGTTTCTCTTTGCAGGGGAGAGAGGGCCTGTCAGGGAATCGGCTCACGACCTTGTTTGGGTAAACTACACCGTCACAGTGCCAAAAAATGAGGTCATGTGTTGCCAAACCTGTGGTCCAGCCAGGCCTGCAGAACAGAAAGGCCTCTGTGGGGGCCACTCGTAACAAGTCTGCACACCCCCGAAGGCTGGCATGTGTGTGTTTTAGTGTGTGTCGGTGTGTGCTGGTGATGTAATGAGTGGCTGATTGATGCTGCTGTGGGGCAGAAACTACACAGACTGTGACTTCCTGTCTGTATGTGCAATAAACACAACGGCTTTGTCCTTAAGTTAACGCTGAAATGCTCCATCGGTGTCACTAATGGCACCAGTCTGGAGGAACAATGGCGCTCATGAGGCCTCTGGTCTGCCCTCCTGCATTTGTTGGTTTGTTTTTCCAAGTTTATAAAGTCACAGTATAAATCCATCTCTTGGCTGTTTTCTGTTTGCTTCATTGCTGCAGTTAAACCAATTCACTCCAGGACACTGTAAAAAAAAAGAAAAAGAAGACTTTAACTGTAATAAAAACATTTTTTATGTTATTTTACAGTTTTTCTCTGTTTTGTAAAGTTGTAGATAATAACCAGTAAAATCACAGACAAAAAAGTGTTCAATTACATGTTAACCATTAAAAAACAGACCAAAACTGGAATAGTCCCTTTTATGGTTACACTTAAAAAAATAATAATAAATAAATAAAAGAATTTAAATGAGCAAAAATCATTATTATTATACAGAAAATTGCCATTATTTTTAAGAAAAACTTTGAAGAAGTTAGGATTGAAAAATTGTTTAAAAAAAAAAAAAAAAAAAAAATCAATTTGTTCTTTAACAATTTGGGACTATAAAATTACACATATTTTGTATTCAAATCTGTCAAATCTGGAAAACATGTCAAAATTTAAAGATATGATCCTTTATTTGAAAGGAAAAATTATCTATGTTAAGGACTGAAAAATAACAAGTCATTTTTCTTATTTTCCTGCTATTTTATGGATTTTACAGATCCATGAGGTCCAGTTATGCGATTCTCCAGCGCCGTGGAGACTCCACATACCTCACTGCATGTGCTTGTTACTGTGAAACTACACTGTGTCAAAGAAATAGTCCCTAAGAAGAGCGCTCACAGTGAAATTTGTAGAAAAACCAGAGTACAAACGGTTATTGTTTCTGGAAAGGCAAGTTTTTTTTTTTTTTTTTTTAATTATCCTTAAAGCTAAAAAAAGCTTTAATGCCGGTTGTCTATCAAATGTTAGCATGATAACGGTCCAAAGTAGGACGGTGAACTTAATACACACTGTATCTGCTTAACATCAGCTTAATGTGCCAATGTTAGCATTTAGATGGATTAAAACACACTAAAAACCACCTAAAGTTCAGACACCATGTTGTGTTTTTTACTTCACGTGGCTGTAACGTTTACTTCCGCTCGTATCTCCATTTTTAGTGACTTTCATGTTTTTACTTAAGCGGAGGGATTAGTTGCTCCTCTGTAGCTCGAGGAAAGTTTCCAACCTCGTGGGCTTTTTGAAAGCAACGGCTAAACTAAAAAAATGCACGACAGCTCCATGTGAAAACGAGGCATTTCTCTGATTGCTTTAAATTCTGATCAGTTTCAGGTTTCGGTTTATCTCTACATGTGGTTTGATTGTAAGTACACAGCTGATAAGTTCTTCACTTTTTGAATCAGTTCGTGCACAAATGAAGTGTTGCTGCTGCTCAGGTTTCTTTACATGTGTTCTGGACGTTCAGGCGTTTCAAGCAAATCCCATCTGTCATGTCTGATGTGAGGCTGATCAGGATTGTCAGCAGCACAACCCAAAGCTGGTGGGCAGCTCATGAAACAGCCTATATAAGGAGGTGAAGCCAGGCGCTCCTGCAGCTCGTGCATGTTGGAGATCTGCAGCTGAAGGCTTCACATGTGGTGCAGAGAGCTTTTCAATAGTAACTGCTAGCAGGTGCCGCCGTCGTGTAGCTGTTGGCCGCCGGCCTGAGCGCTCCGGGCCTCCTCCTCCACCCCCGTGAAGCTGGCACAGACGGACCTTATCGCTTATCAGAGCTGCCTGTCCAAACACTGAAAGGTCCCGGCTCCCACCCACTTCCCCCCACCGGTTCTCGTACAGATCGGTGACTTCACGGTCTGAGAACCATAAACAGAGGGTGGAACCTCTGATCTGTCATATCCTCATAAGGAAATGTGGCCATTACGACGATGCAGGGGCGTCGATGGAAACCAGATTGTAATCCGAGAAATCGCTAATCTTGTGCGAAAACAGTTGGAAGTTGATGCTGCATTGAAAGGTTAAGTGTTGAGTTTTGTGTTTTTTTTAAACACGGGGTGGTGAAAAGCCGAGTGCAGCAGAAACAGACAGCTGGAACAAACTACAAGCCAGCAGGGAAATACCAACAGATCCAGATCCTTTGCACCAAAGCAATGTTAAAATACGCCATTACAGGCTCAAATCCTGCATTAGAAATCCAATTTAAGTAAGGATTTGCAGCAAAATGTAGTGAAAGTATTAAAGTAAGAGTCCTGGTTTGGTTCCTGTGACTGATCTGATAATTAATAGTGAAGCATCAGTGTGTCAGCAGCTTGTTACTGATGCAGCTGCTGCAGGATGAAACCACTTTATATCCAGTTTTATAGACAGACAACAGAAAAAAAAGAAGAAGAAAAAAAGTTCCGTTGCACAATTCTGCTTTCATCTAATCTTTATTTTTTGCTGAGATATTGGATCATTTATTGAAATAAATCAGAGATGTTTGAGGTAAAAATCACTCACTGTTGACGACTTACGGACGTGAAATGTGACCCGACTACACACTGCTTTTTGTTAGCAGCCACAAAGGTTGCAAAGTTGAATTTTTAAGAGTGTTTTGCATTTTCAAAGCTTCTTATATCGTCTTATAAGATCCATTGTGCAAAAATCTTCATCTTAAAATGCTTCCAGATAAATGCAGCGGGTAAAAAGTGTCATATTTGTGTCATGTGTAGTCGTGTGGAAATAAGAAGCAGCAGAAGATGGAAACGTTTAAATAAAGTGCCTCAGAATTGGTTGCTTCCTACCACTGAATACTGGTCTGGTGGTCGTTGCTTTGAGCAGAGCGCGTAACCTGAACAAGCAGTTTTTCTTAGTACAAGAAGAGCAGAGGAAAACTACAAAGTGGCAAAAAAGTCAATTAAACTCTAAGAGAAGGTGCAAAAAAACCCTAAACTCCCAGATAGAAGTCAATATTCTCAGTGTTTGTATGTATTTTTTTCATATGCAGCAGCTTTTCCTGACTCTTAAAGGAGGTAACTTGGATGTGTAGGAACACTATTGGATCAGAAAACCCTGAATATTGGTTTTAACTCTCCGCAATGCTCCTCTTCATTCAGTATTTTAGATAAAGTTGTTCAGGATTTCTTTTTGAGCTGATAATTTAGCCTTTTTTTCAGTGTGTTTACTAGAAATCCATTCAAAGTCAATTTGTTTTTAACATTTTGAAAGATATTAAAAGTTTATTATGTGGTATGAGTGAGTTTCCTCGAGGTAATCTGATTGGCTGTTGCGCATGTCACTTTCAATTTAGGCTGTTTTGATTGGCTAAAGGTCTTTTTGATTATTTTTTTTCTCACTCCAGTGGTGGAACTTGATTATTTAACCAGCATCAGATGTGTTATTAGGGCGTGTCCCACACAACACACCAGAGCCTTTGTCCTGCTCATGATTCTTTGTGGACAATTAACGGAGAGAAATCTGAAGCGTACTCTTTATTTTATGGACTAATTACTAACATGGAACTGTGTAAAGTCTAATATTATCACACTGGAAGTTAGAAAAGCTTTTTAATCCATTAAGAAGTCACCTCTTGTTGTATATTTTTAAAGCATTGTTCTCGTTTGTAGTTTTTTATTCAGCTTCTGGCGCCTTATTTCTGATTATTTCTTATCAGCATCATGTTAACTGTATTAGTGCAGCTTTTTATTTATTTATCCGTCTGTTCGTCTGTGCATTGACACTATTTTCTCTTCTCTCTTGCAGACATCGATGAATGTGAGACCAACTCCCACCACTGTAACCCCACCCAGGTGTGCATCAACACCTCTGGAGGCTACACCTGCTCCTGCACTGAAGGCTACTGGCTCATCGGCGCACAGTGTCAGGGTGAGGCGGCGTTTTAAAACACGTTTTACATGATATTGAACCGCTTTATCCTTTCACTGCTGGAGTTACAAGGTGCTGTACAATAAAGAGCATCAGCAGAACATTTGAAAAGAAAAATCCCATTAAAAAAAAAACTCTTTTCTGATACCTTTGTATTAAAAAAACGAAAGTGCAGGCTGCCATTTTTATATGCTATCAAATATTTTATTGTATTTTTTAAATGTTTTATTGTAAAAAAAAAAAGAAAGAAAGAAAGAAAGAAAGAAAGAAAAAAAGTAAACGCTTAAGTGGTTAAAAACTGTAGAAAATGTAGAAAATACCAGCAAACATCTGTAAAATAATGATATTTTTAGCAGATTTAAATACAGTAATACTGTATAATTTACAATCACACACTGCAAAATAACTATTTTGTATTTATAAAAGTTCAGATTTTGGTGAGGACATTATTTACAGTTTTGGCCTGTTTTTTGTTGTTGTTTTTTTTACAGTCAACATATAAAATAATGTTTTATTGCGGCGAATTTACTAGATATTATCTGTAATTTAACAAAGTAGGCAAACATAACAGTTAAATATATGATGTACAGTTTTAAAATCCTTAATATACATATTTTTTTCTTTCAAATAATGTAAAATATCTGTAGAAATATATATTATTGCTAATTTAAAACCGATTAAAAAAATGTGTGATTTTACAGGCAAATGCTGTATAATAACTCACATTATTCTAACTTTGTCTAAATGTTTTTCAAGGGCTGCTTTTGCAGATTCAATCAAATTTGCATTTCGAGCACTTTACAATACTCCTGAAACTGGTCAATATTTTTGAAAAAGCTCATAAATAACTATTGTTGGATCTTCATGCAGCTAAATACAGACACCTCTTGAATTTGGGTGCATTTCAGGAAGCTCTGACATGTGAAACTCAAGCTTTTATTACATACATTCTTTGCTTTTACAATCTGTTTTGGAAACATGAATAGAACAATTGCTGGCATTAAAAAAGTGCTATAATTGTGCACTGAAGCATCTTATCTTTATCGAGCAGAAATAGATGTAGTTGTATTCTTGAAGGTAGAAAATGAATTTGGTACTAAAACAGACTGCACATGATTTATATTTGCACCTTTGCAGCAGCATCAGTCGTCTTCTTTCGATCAAATGTTCCTTCTTCACTGAATCAAAGCTCAAGATCAACATGTATTTAATGACTTCAGTCTTAATTCTGTGTTTATTCTCTTTTAGACAAGTTGTTTTCTGGTTTTATCCTGTTTTTCTGGCATTTTATTTTTAAGGATTTTACAAGTTTCATCCTGTTTTATGTTTTGCTTTTCGCACACATTTTTTGTTGTCGTCTGTCTTGTGTTGTTTCAAAACGTCCAATATTAATAAATTCGATCTGATTTAATATCCTGAATCATGCAAAACCACCAAAGTCATCCATCACACTTTTATTTTATTTTGACATTATGGCCAAGCTGGGATATTAGTGCGCATATTTCCGTAATGAAAGCCACATTTCTTGCAGTCTGTGTCGGATAACGTAGAAAACACGATGCAGATTCGCGTCTTCATTAACAAAATGCCATTATGTCCTCTGAAAGCGTTGCCTGTAGAGGAACAGCGCCCTCCTCAGGTTTTGTGCGGTGATGCAGCCAAGACAGTATATGTTTACAGCTGGTTTGTGTGTTTCTTTTGGACCAGATATTGATGAGTGTCGCTACGGTTACTGCCAGCAGCTGTGTGCCAACATCCCCGGCTCGTATTCCTGCTCCTGTAACCCCGGATTCATCCTCAACCCGGACAGCCGGACCTGTCAAGGTACACACAGCAGCAGAGCACAGAAAATATGAAGAGTCAACCCCAGTGGTGGAAAGTATATTCACTGAAATACTGGGCTTAAGTACAATTATGACGCATTTTATTCAAGTATTTCCATTTTATATTGTTTTATGCTTACATTTTCTCCTCCACATCATCTATCTGACGGCTTTAGTTACGTTTAAGATGGAGATTTCACAAAAAGGATAATATACCAAGCTTTAGAAATACACTTTGTTAAACCACATTAAAACAGTCGGCTTCTTAAAAAACTGTGTGTAGTCGAGGTCATATTTGAGATCAACAGCTCCACCAGATAGTGATTTTTCTCTCTAAGCTTCTCAGATAGTTTTATTTCAATAACTGATCCAGTATCTCAGCAAACATAAAAGATTAGAGGAACAGATTTGTGGGTCAGAACTTAGTTTTTTCTTCTTTTCTCTCCCTTAGATCATGTTTCTCAGATTTATCTGTTGTCTCTGTGCATAAAACTGGATATAAAGTAGTTGAAACCTGCAGCAGCAGTAACAAGCTGCTGACACACTGATGCTTCACTATTGGTAATCAGATATAATAATTTATCAGTCAGAGGAACTAAACCAGGACTTTTACTTTAATATTTTAGCCACATTTTGCTTGTAATTCGTATGCACTTTTGCTTAATGCAGGACTTTTACTTGTAATGGAGTATTTTTACTTTGCCATATCTGTACCTTTACCTAAATAAGGCAACTACATACTTGTTCCGCCACTGGCTACGATGCTGGTGTTTAGCAGGCACAATATTTGCCATCTTGGTTCAGCAAACTAATTTTTTGCATCTTAGCCAAAGCACATCTGATGTGAGTGTAATTCATTCTGCAGCTTTTAAAAACCATTAAAAGCACTTTAACAAGCTAAAGTGCTGATTGAAGGTCAGGGAAGGAATTCATCCTCTGGGGACCATGAATGTCTGCAACAAGATGAATGAGTCTATCCAGTAGTTCAACATACAGGCGGGTGATAAATTAAAGGAAAAACCAACATAGAGTGACTTGGTTGGGCCACCGTGTGTTGCTTAAAACGGCTTCAGAGCTCCTCGATGTTCTATCATTTGGTGTTTCAATGATGGTGGTAGTGATCTAACAGCTGTGTCAGAGTTGTGTTAACGTCCATCCTCTGTTGTTGGTCCAGATGTGGACGAGTGTGAAGATGAACCCTGCAGTCACGGCTGCTTCAACACCTACGGATCCTTCATGTGCAACTGTGACGAAGGGTTCGAGTTGGCGTCCGACGGTACCACGTGTATCGGTGAGGGGGTTTTAAAATATTTTGTTCCTTTAAACTGTAAAATGCAGTCTGTTTTTGGAGTCGGGTTAAAGTTTGATGTCTCACAGAGTGAAACTGATGAATTATGTTTAAATTCCAGATACTGGCACATCATTTTTAATGTTTGTAAAGGTGAAGAATGTGTGGAAACCAGCATATTATAGCTGGATATACGCTTTGATTTTTCAGAACCAAGTCTTCGTTTATGGAGGACATCACCAGTTTCTGCAAGTGTATTTTTTGTGCAGCATCACAGGAACCAACAGTCTTCTCCAGATTACAATAAGTGAGCCGGGCTGTAGTTTATCACAGGGCTGATTATTACAGTACTGACAGACTACAACCCCTTTCAGACACAGTCTGTTGGCTTCGTGTCTGAATGAACAACCTGGCAGCTTTTCTGTGAAAGTCAGGGCAGCATTGTACTCCTACCAGATCGGATGTAGTAACATTTTCCGATTGCTTTCAGCACCAGTCTGAACTTCCTGCAGTCACATTAACAGAAAGGCAACAGAGGAGCTGCATATTTTGAGTCATGTACAGTAATTTGGGGAAGGAATGTTCCACTTTTCTGCACCAATATTCATCCAAAAACATCACAAAGAGTGAAACAATTACAGTTTTCGTGGCAAAATCAGAAGCCGTCTTCGTCGTTCACTTTGCCCTACAACTTTACATTTATTACAAGCTGACATAAGATAAAACTTGACGACAGCTCAGACTAATAAAAATCATCAATCATAAAACGTGATCTGGGTTTTAACAAAACTTGAGGAGCAGCTGAAGGTGTTGTTGTTGCTTTCAGCTGTTTAGGACTATTTCCTCTGTTTATTAAATAGCTGCACCCTCAGGCTGAGTGGCTTCTAAAAGAGAGAACTAAGTATTAAATTCTTCAAATTTATCCCCGACATGGAGACTGGATCAATCAGAATCTACCAGCAAATCACACTTTGAACACACAGTTTATCGTAAATAAACAGCTAGAAGTACGTTATGAATCCCCAAGGGGAAATTTGGTCGTTACAGCACAACAATAAAGTTACCACCACCGTAAATGCCGATAAATAAGCAAAAATAAACAATAAGAAAACATTAAATGCAAGACGTACAATAAGTGTCAAGTAGAAAAGTCCTGTGTGAGCATAGTGCAAATAGTAATATGAGTGATCAGCTGCAGTTAAATCATTTGTTTATCAGCGTGTTGAATTCCTCCGCAGCTTGTTGGGATATTTTTATTTTACTGTTGCTAAAGTAGCAGTTTAATAAGCGTCACACATGGACAGAATTTACAGTGTTTTGCTGATCATTAGTTATTTGGACAGTTTGATTGGCTTTTTGATAAATGTTTTAGTTCTTATTTAGTGTTTATTGTGATGTATTGCATGTCACTTGATGTTCTGTTAAACTGTGGCTCTCTCCATTACCGTGAAATATTATGTGAAAGTGACTTTAATGGACCGATGATGCCAGAAATGTGACGTCTCCTTAATTAATTTTCACTCCTACCTGCAGGGAGGTGCCTTATGGGAAGAAACCAGAGCCAGTTTGCTCCAGTCTAAATCCTGATTTAGTATTAATTCTGGTTTTTTTTGACTTGGTGCAGACTTGGATGAGTGCAGTTTCTCTGAGTTTCTGTGTCAGCACAGATGTGTGAACACGCCCGGCTCTTTCTCCTGCATCTGTCCGCCGGGATATTATGTATTCGAGGACGGCAGGAGCTGCGAAGGTAACTCGGTTGTGCAACGTTTCATTCAGACCTGTCTTACCATGTGTGTCTGTTAGGTACACAATCTAACAAGTGACTTCTTGGCTATGAAATCAGGACAGATGAATGTGTTTCCTTGAGAACATTTCACATTTGCCACAGTGCATCAGTGTCTGTGTACTAATGTTGTTGATGCTTCTTGTTGTTTTCTCTGATGATGATGGTTGATGCTGAGGACGCTTTCACTGACTCTGACTGTTGTGTGTTTGATTTTGAAGATTTCAATGAATGTGACACTGGTAACAACACCTGTACAACAGCACAAGTATGTTTCAATTTCCAGGGAGGCTATACATGCCTGGATCCTTTACAGTGTCGCCCTCCTTACATCGAAGTTAGTGACAAGTGAGTTCCCCCCCCTCGCAGCTGATCGACCGACCGGTCCGTCATACCCAGAGCTGAGCTGTTTCATCCCTTAATTATCTGTTGTTTTGTCCCCTGCAGTCAGTGCATGTGCTCAGCTGAGAACCCTGCCTGCAGGGACAAGCCCTTCACCATTCTGTACCGACACATGGACTTGTCGTCGGGGCGCAGTGTGCCTGCAGATATCTTCCAGATGCAGGCCACCACGCGCTACCCCGGCGCCTTCTACATCTTCCAGATAAAGTCGGGCAACGACGGACGAGAGTTTTACATGAGGGTGAGTGTTTCAGAGATCTGCAGAAGCCACGTAAACGCTGTGAACTCATGCCAGAGGCTCCATATTAACACCACATTGTTGTAAATCAACTGTTAAGTGGATTATACACGGAAAATTCTTCTGCCACACAAGTTTTCAGAGACGTTACTTGAGTAAAACTTCCAATACAGCAAAGGAAAAAACAAGTCCTGCAAGTAAAATCCTACTTATAGCAACAAGTATTAAAGTACAAGTACAGATTTGTTTCCTCCTACTGATAAATTCTAATATATGAGAGGAAAAAGAGGAAAAAAATAAAATTCTGTTGCCCAAATCAATTTTCAGATTTTGTGTGATATTCGTTTTTGTGAACATTTATTGAAATTAAACCACTCGGAGGAGTTTAGAGGGAAAAATGACTATTTGGTGAAGCTGTCAACAACTTAGAGATCTGAAATGTAAACCGGCTGCACGCTGGTTTTTGTAAGAAGGCGTAAATGTCGGCTTCAACCGGTGAATTATTTGACAATTTCTATTATCCATTGTGCAAATCCTTCATCTTAAAAGTAGCTAAAGCTGTTAAATAGATGTAGCGGAGTCGAAAGTAGAATGTTTCCCTCTGAAAAGTAGTAAAGTGGAAGTATAAAGTAGCAGAAAATGGAAAATATTTTAAGCAAAATACCTCAAAATTGGACTTAAGTGCAGTATTTCATTACGTGTACTTATGTATACTGATACTAAAGCTGTCAGATAAATGCAGTGAAGCAGAAAGTAGAATATTTTCCTCTGAAATGTCGTAAAGTAGAAATTTAAAGTAGCGCAAAATGGACAAATAAAATACCTCTAAATTGAAGTGTATGAAGCAGTTTATTTGCACCAAACAGAGCAGAAACTGTGAAGTCGTCATGAATTAGAGACAAACGGCGCCACCTACTGACACTCTGTCAACAGAGAGGCGAAGGGAGCCGCAGAGCCGAGCAGGAAATGGCAGTAATGTTTAAAGACTCCACAGCTGCGAGCGTTTAATACCAGAGATGTTGCCAGAATCAGTCTTGGACTCGTCTCATACGATCACGGTGCTTATTATTAGAATCACTCCACAAATATGATTAAACTGCAGCTCCAGTCCGGAGCTGAACACGAGAACTTCACTGCGTTTCAGAGGAAGTTATTGTACTTTTTACTGCATTGCTTTAGTCTGACAGAAGCAGATACTTAGCAGGTTATAAAACAGCATATTAAAGCCCACCTGGATGAACTACAGCACTGAAGAACTGCTGCTCATTGATGTATCAGGATTATTATGACCCACCAATAAGAGTTAATGGTAATAAACTCATAAGTTGTCCTTCTGTGTTGAACTTACATTTTCTAATAATCCTGATGTCTTTTTACTTTAGTAAGATGTTGGTTACAGGACTTGTAATCCAGCATCTTTTCTGAATTGGTTTTGCTATTTTTTTTAACTGAATTTAACTTCTTTTATGACTCATCCAGACCTGATCAACCAGTAAATACCTTCAGAGGTGATCAAGCTTCGCAGGATAACTTATTAAAAGTGTTGATTTATGGTCATGCTCGTCTGTTTTTGTCAGACTCTGCTGTCTGACTTTGTCTAAACACACATAAATGACGTTAGAACATGGCAGCTGTCTAAACCTGAGTCAAGTTGTTTGTAACCAGTAACTAAATGGAGTTACTCAAGTATTTTGAGGAGCTTTACTTGAGTATTTCCATTTTAGACAGCTTTCTAGGGAAATTATTGCTCCCTCTGCTCGACTATGTTTATCTTACAGCTTGATGCATATTTTAAAATGCAACTCTATTGATCAAACTGGTTTCTAATCCGTGTGTACTTCAGGCACATTTTGCAATTCTATGAGTTGTTGTTAGCTCCAACAATGACTGATTTTTCCCTCTGAACTTATTTCATGGTTTCATTTCGATAAATTGATACAATATCTCACCAAAAATCAAAAAGTAGAGAAAATCTGACAACAGATTTGTGTATTAGAATGATTTCTCTTCCCATTAATCATATTTAAAGCCCTCAGATTTATCTCCTGTCTGTATATAAAACTGGATGTAAAGTGATTTCAACCTGCAGCAACAGTAACAAGCTGCTGAACCACTGATGCTTCGAATTAATAATCTAATGCTGCCAAATATAACAAAATATCATTCAGAGGGACCAAATCAGTACCTAAGATTTAACACTTTAACGACATTTTTCTACTAATGCTTTTATATTCTTACTTAAGTAGGATTTTAATATGTATTGGAGTATTTTTACAATAATTTATTGGTACTTTTACTTCAGTAAAGCAACTAAAAACCTTGTGTAACTCTGTTTATAGCCGTAATTGTGAACAGATTCTGAAAATACACCAAAGAAGCATAAAATATTCAGCTTTGATGTTGATTCTTCTCATTCTCATGAAGAATTGTCAAAATATTTAGAATTAAGGCTGAATTACTGGAAGGAAGCAACAGTGAAGTGCAGCTTTTCCTGCTTTGACAAACAAATATGTTAAATGAGTGGAAACCAAAAAAAAAAAAGAGGAAAGCTGTTTCATCAGTGCAGCCAGCAGATGGAGCAATAAGTGTGTTTAAAATGTCAGAAAGGCTGATTTTTCTTATTAAATGCTGGTTTTTAAATCTTAAAATGGCGAAATGCAAACATGAGCTTTGATTCCAGACCTCATGCGTCGTGTAAAACACACTCCCCGACTCGTGTTTTCTGGTTAGAAATAACCTAACATGGCACTGATCCACGTGCAGCTGTCCCACTTCACTAATTTCCTGCCCTTCACATTCCTCTTCTTCTGTTTTTCTCTTCTTCTATCTCGCAGCAAACCAGCAACGTGAGCGCCACGCTGGTGCTGTCGCGGCCGATCAAAGGCCCGAAGGAGGTGGTTCTGGACCTGGAGATGGTCACGGTCAACAACGTCATCAACTTCAGAGGCAGCTCCATCATCCGTCTGACGATATTCGTGTCCGAGCATCCGTTCTGAGCAGCATGAACTTCAGAAAACCCAGCGGCTGTGTTGGCCTGTATGGGTTTGTTTCAGACAGCTCATTCCCCCTCCTTTTTTTTTTTTTTTTATCACTATGTCATCCTCAATAAAGACACGTCCGATCAGGACTCCGGCCCGAGATGGGAAGACGTTCCTCTGCTCGGATCCCCGCCCTGGTTTAATGGACACTGAGCTTTTTTTTATGGCTGGACACAGAAGGATGTTTGTGGTGTACAATTTCTGACGTCCTCTATTCAGACCTGAAATTTATCCTCACTGAGTATCAGCGTGTATGTTGTCTGTGAATCTTCATCCCTTCACATAAGCTGTGACTTTGATTGCTGCCATCTGAGGAGAGAAAGCCGGTCGTGTCATTGTGTGTAATTTGCAGAGTCAGTGTTTGAAATGATGTAACAGAAGCAGTCATTAACTGAATTATTGATCACCGTTTCTTTTAGACCAATAAATGTCTTCACACCACACAACTGTCCCTGGCATGAGGCGGCTGCTGGATTCCTGACACGGTAGCAGATGTTTTCAGGTTTATCATGTGATGGTTTACACTTTCTGAGGGAATTTTGGGTGCACAGTGTTGACTTTATTATAAGGAAACATTTTTGGGCACATCTGGAAGCTCTGTGGGAACTTTTGGAGTTGTGAAGGCACAGTTTTATAGATTTATACTTTATTTGTCAAGTGGGAAGTACTGCACAATCTGGTATTATTGATATTAAACTTATATTTATTTAGTTAGGTTTTAGGTAATTAGCATTTTTTTTAAAAACAGTTTTTGCCTGTAAGTTTTTTTTTTTTGGAAAAATTTGGTGTTATTTTACAGATTTTTCCCTGTTTTTGTAAAATTGCAAATGATATCCAGTAAAATCACAGAAACAAGCTAATTAATTTACATGTTGATATTTAAAAAAAGAAGCCAAAACTGTAAACAATGTCCACAACAAAAATTTATATTTTTACAAATAGTAATTAGGTTGTTTTTTATTTTTGTAATTTGACGATAATGGAGTATATGTAAGAGGATTCACGCTCAAGATGATGCTTTTGTGGAACATTTTTTTATTTTTTTTGCACATTTTAATGCGTTGCACTAATTAACGACCAGTGGAGGGCGCTATAACAAAATCTGGTGTCATGGTAAGAAGGCAAAATCCTAAATGTCGGGGATTTTGCTGCTCAATATCTACAATAAATGCAGCTAAATGTTTGATTTTGAAAATCTTTTACGACATATTGTGTGGATACTAAATCACACATGAGGCATTTGGGTACACTATAATAGAATTTGTAGATTGTATCAGCACGCGTTGAAGCGCTACACTAACTTCTGGAAAAGCAAGAGCACTGAAACAAAAGTGGAGGGTAAGCCTATTAAATTTGGGAGCGCTACACCAAATTTGGAGCGATGTGGTCGAACATAAAATATTCAGGGACTCAAAATATTTAGTCATTTGTGGAAAATGGAGTAAATTTGAAGGATTTTGGTTCAAAATGATGCTAACTAAACTCAGCCTCATTTTGATTTTGCAAATGTGAGAGGTTGGACACATTTTTTTAGGATATTTTTTGGAACTATATGCCAAACTCTAAAAATACGTGATTGCATTAAATGACAAACATTGGTACGTTGTGGATCTCTATACCATCTCTTTACTTGTGCAGAACTGTATCAACCAAAATTTGGGATTATTTGGATTAAAGTCAAAATATCAGATTTAGAGGTTTGGCTTGTGCAGCAACAACAATAAATCTTTTCAAGCATCCTTTGAAGAAACATTTTGGAAATTATAGTGTATTTCATAAATAAAAACGTGAGGTATTGTGCGCTGTAACCCAATCAGAGGTTAAATCTGCATACGTTGGAGCACTGCACCAATTTCTGTAAACTATTTGGGACTATAAGACATATCAATAAAAACACCAAACTTGGGAAATTTTAGAAAAATCTAGAATATTTAGGGACCAAACTAATACATACATTTGTACATAGTGTAGTTAGTTTGATGGATTTGGCCATTTTATAATGTTATAACAAACTTTTTTTAATGAATGCTGCTCACAACTAGAGCACATTTTGATGTTACAAATGTGCAGGTTTGAGATAAATGGAGCATTTTTAGTGATATTTTTTAAAATATTATTTTAGATTCCCAGTGCAGTGGGGGAGCACTGGTGCAAAAACTGTGATTATATCAGTGAGCTGTGGAGGATTTTGTGATTAATAATCTTGTAGATTTGGGAGCTCAACAGTTCATATCTCCACCAACAGCTGCTGGCTCAACCAGGCTGAGATGCTTCTTGATTTCTTCAGTGGTTTTCTCCGTAAAAAAAACAAACAAAGACACTCTGATCTTGTTTCTGCCTGGAAGACGTTCAGAGTTGAGCAAAGTGGGGAAAAAAAAAATCAAACGAGAGCGAGTGATGGGGAACAACCAGAGACGGTGGTGCGTTCACGGCTGTTCGGGGAAGAAACAACAGCGTCCGTCCGGGAATCAGAGAGCTGCGGAGGGAGAAGGGGGAGGAAACAGGGAGGCAGGAGGGAGGAAGGGAGAGAGAGAGAGAGAGAGAGAGAGAGAGAGAGAGAAGAGGAGAAACCTGAGAGTGAAGTGAAGCTCAAACCTCAGATCAGCTCATTTCTCTCCAGTCGGTCCTCCAAGAACAAGCTGCGCTGCTGGATGTTCACAGCTCGTCTTTATTCACAGAAACCATCGCCTGGGTGAGTTTACATCTCTGCTCTTGTAGTAAAACTGGATTATCTGATGTTTTATACGTGTGATAAGGTGAAACCTGCACAGATTACCCAGTAAATCCAGCGCAGCAGCTTCACTGTGCTGTTTAGTTGTGTTTTCTTTTTTACTTTCTGTCTTTAGCTGAGTGTAAATCAATAATCAAAGTGACCTAAAGCAGCCTGAAGGAGGTGAAAACTGTGGATTTTAAGACACTATGACATGTTTCTGGACTAATGTGCTCTCAGGGCTGCTAATATACATTGTAAAAAAAAGAATCTGTGATTTTGAGGAATTTTTCCTTTTTATTTGACAGATTTTTTTTCACCATATTTCTTTAAATACACCAAAAATATCAATAGATTACAAAAACACACACTAAATTTATAAGTCTAATGCAAGAGCTGTAATTTTGAATAACCCTAAGTTTTCCTAAAAATAATAATATTTTAAACATCAGGCCACTGTTAAAATTACAATTATGCCATTTTTACAAATAGATGAAACGGTTAAATTTAAGTTTGATGCTGTTGATATATTTCTAAAATTAGACACTGTTGCCGTTATGTATGTCTGTTATTGGTCATTTTCTTGTTCTTACACATGCAAATCTCAAAATACTCTTTAGCTCTTGTAACAGAACTGACTAATTATGTTCCATCATTGTATTTGTTTGGTGTCCCAACTGCTGAAGTGTTGAAATATTGCCTTTTTTGTACAGTTTCCCTTTTTCACTCTGTAGAAACTGAAGTCAAATGATGTTTTCGTGTACATGCTTTCCTACAGCATGTAGAGAATGTGACTGGTTGTAGACCTACAGACAGTCTGGTGAAAACCAAGGTTTGTACAACACCATGGCTGAACATTCACCTTCAAAATGGAGCGTAATGGTGACAGAGTCAAAAACAATTCAGGGTTTCATACGTAACAAATCGAGGGGACAAATCCAGTCATTTTGCAGGATGAGGTTTTCTGTATCATTTTTCCTCTTCAGAATCAGTTCACAGTTTGAACATGTGTGGTTGAATTACCAGCGTAGAGCAGTTTTGAGCAGAGTTGTAGGTGAGCTGGTTTGCTGAGCTGCAGCGAATAAGTAATAGTGGAGGGAGAGTGGGGTGTGAACATTTTAGATCTGCCCACTGTAGTAGGAACAAGTTTTATCTGTCATTTTAAAGGACAAAGGGATTACCTAATGGGGAAAAAAACATTCTAAATATGTAACTTTAACACACTGAGATCATTTTTTTGAGTTACATCAACCAGGGAAGAACATTTTTATCACAAACCATTTGGCTGATGTAGATTCAGCACATAAATGTATTTTTCTAAGCTGTCCAGTGTCAGTTGGAAACTTCTGAAGTGTTGTCGACTCCCAGAAATGCAGGTATTTGCTCGGGTGGTTTAATGTTTAAACTCCAACTTCCTCAAACTATTTCAACATTTCCAGTTGCAGCCATGGAGTGCCTCAAAAACTGCTGCAAGAACTTCATGAAGAGGAGGGAGAAGGAGCAGGAGACTCAAGGTAAACTGATCTCCTGCAGTCTATGTATAAAGCCCTTTGAAAGACTGTTTTGTCTCTGACTGAGGGGGTTTCTTCTGCTTTAAAGTGATCGCTCTGAAGATGCCTCCAGATCAGACGGAAACGTCAGCACTTAGTGAAACGAGGAGGGGAGTCACAGAAGATTACCTCCTTTCCAAGCTGCCGCCGGACGGCCGAGAGGTCCCGTTTGTTCTGCCGACCTTCAGGGCCTCGTACATCCAACCCAGAGGACCTCAGTACCCCAACTTACAGTCTGGCCTGCAGAGTACGTACCTAAATCAATTGGTGCATCTCAGGCGTGAAGGAATTTGCTTTATTTACCAACCGTCTGGTTTGATTAGCTGCAGGATTTGAGAGGATAGTGTTGACTTAGAAGCTGGTTGGTTAATAATCACATCATTATCATCATCGTTTGTTGGGCGAACATTATTTTACATCTGCTGGAATTCAGAATAATAGCAGCAATTAGTCAAAATACAGCTTTTATTGTTATATATGTTTGTTGAAGGTTCCTTGTTTTTACACAATAATAATAATAAAAGTTAAAAAAAAAAAAACTCTAATGTAAAATTAATGTTAGAAATTATATTATATTTATGAAAAATTTTAGTATTTCTATTGTTTAATGAGAGCTATTTTCATTACAGTACTTTTATTTTTGGCACCACAGCTGCAAAAACAGCACTATTGTATTTATTTATTCATTTATTGTTAGAGGTCCTTTCTTCTAGTTTTACACTGTATAAATGTTGACTCAATTTGGAGGTGTGGGCGACTAGATGCTGCTGTTTTTTTTATTTTGGTAACAAAAAATACCAGATTTTGAGCCATCAGTATATGGTTCAGGACGTAAATCAAATCTTGCCAATGTTGGGTCGTATCAGCACATTTTGGGATATAACAATAGAAGAAATTTGAGTCCTTTGCGCCAAATTTAGTGAAACTGGGGTTAGCTAAAACACATTCAGAGGTAATGTCAAACTTTTCCAAATTCTAGAGTTTATCGTTCTGAGCCCTGTAAAGCCTGATTTGTAAATTGATCAAATCAGGCTTTGATTTTCCTTAAAAACGTGAGACGACCATTTGAGCATCACGTGATGCTTCAACACAAAATAAACCCTGTAACTTACTGACCACAAGAGGATCGCGCTATATGCTGATCTGAATCCTAACATGGTCCCAACACTGGGCCAACGCGAGAGTTAATTAAGTCTTTGCAAATATGGCCGCCGCAGATGTACCGGATCCGGCTTACGTTTGATCTTTGTCAAACGTTTCCGCCCCCGCCGGTAGCTTCTGACTTATCTCAGTTTATGTGTAAACAAGACTGTATCAACAGTCCTGGCACTGTTTTGTAGAAGATTTATTACTGTAAATGTCACCACACCTCAGTTAGCTGTCGTTCATTAAGGCCTGGATGTGTGCAGACAGCTGGATGTCCAACGTACAAGGGTGGATCAAAAAGTTCAGAGACTTTGTGATGTGCCGCCAGTGAGCAGTGAGTCAGGATGTAACATAACATTGTGCCGTCAACAGCAGGACAGATGTTGGCATTTGTGATTTCACCATGAACCTCACACTGGAGCGCAGAAGAAACGTCACATTCGGTGTCAGTCAGCAGCTGGATGATCCAAGCTTCATGTAGACCATCATCGGTGGTAATGAGAGGTGGGTTTGTGGCTATCATCCAGAGAGGAAACAAAAGTGTTCACAGAAGAAAAGCACCAGGAGGATGCTTGTTGTTTTCTTCAACGTTCATGAGGTTGTGCACCAGAAATCAGTCCCCAAGAGTCGGACTGTTGAGGCAGAGTTCAACTGTAACGTCCTGAAGCGTCACATTGACATTTGGCCCAAACCGCCTGAACTTTGGTGTGATGACATATGACTGTTCCTCCCACAACAACACAGTCATCACTCCCCACCTGCCCTACCTGCTGGATTTGGCTCCTTGATGTGATGATGTCTTCCTCTCTCCTGATATGTTAAATTCAAGTAGAAGGATCACCATTTTATCACAGTTTAGGAGATGATGCTTAATGTGTGGACGTAACATGACATCCAGGGAGTGTTTCAAGTGTTGCAGGAGCACTGGGAGCAGAGTATCGCTGCATAAGGAGGCAACTTCAAGGGGAAAGGTGGTCAAATTTAAACCAGTTTTTGATTTTTATAAGCTCAGTCTCTGAACTTTTTGATCGATTGTTGTACAGTAGGAAAGGACAGGACATGTAAGTCAACATGCTGCAGTCTGGAGCAAAAACACAGTTAAATCATGGCAAAGTTTATAGCGACCAATCCAACTCGAGCTCCAGTCTGCACTAAAGCCTCCCGGTGCCTGTGGCCTCACAAAAGTTTCATTAAAATCAGCTCAGAGGTTACTGAGATATGAGCAGCTGTTCAACAGAAGAAAAGCACCAGGATATCCTGCTTCGAAATGAATGGCTGTAATGTTTCAGTTGAGCGACTCTGGACAATGATTTTGTTTCGAAATTAAGGAATGTTGACCTCCGGCTCATGCTGCGGTTTGTGTGCAGGTTCAGCTCGCAGCACGTATGCAGAGAGGAAGGCCGAGCTGCTGGGCACCAGCCACTTCGCCTACGGCCCCGAATCCAGCTTCCGTCAGGGTCAGATGACCGAGTACATCTCCCCCGGATCAGCCCGCCGAGACACCCTGAGGAGCAAAAACTCCAGTCCTCAGAGCCCAGGTAGCGCCGAGCAGTTACACAGAACTTCAGCTGCACTGAACAGGCTGGGAATCAGAATAATTTTAGCCTTTCAAGGTTATTCAGAATCATATTTAAGATTGGCTTGAAAATAAATAAATCATGTGTTTTATGAATTATCACTGTAGTAAAATTGGAGATATCTGTGAAAAATAGTAGTAAATGTTTTACAAATTGACCAAGACACATTATATATCTCACAATGTTGGTCACAGTATTACTTTTTTGAAGAGTTTACTGCAGAAGTGGATGTACTCAGATCTTGTACTTAAGAAAAAGTAGCAACACCACAGTATAAAAACACTCTAGTACAAGTAAAAGTCGTGCATTTACATTTTTATCTGAGTAAATGTGCAAAAAAAAAAAAAACTAAACGTATCAAAAGTTAAAGTGCTCATCACACAAAGGGGGCATATTTCAGACTAATGCATATTAAATGGTTGGATTATAATTTGTAATGCACTCATGTGTTCATCAAGTATAGTATTCACTAGTATAGTGATAGTATTACTTTGTGATTTACTTGTTGGCTACTATTTTGCATGACTAAACTAAATCCATGACATAACTAAAGTTGTCAAATGCATATTTTAGAGTAAAAAGTGCAACATTAGCCTTTGCATTGTTGTTCAGTAGAAGAACAACGTAGCAGAAAAAGTGAAAAATTCTCAAGTAAACTGTAAATAACTCACAACTGTACTTGATTAATTGCACTTAGTCACTGGTTTTCTGTGATATGAAGTCATGTTGCATCACAGAGTTTGGATAAAGCCTCTGATACATACATATATTACAGCTAAACACACATCCTTATCTGTCGTTATGTAACACCGACTCAACAGTTTGTCCACATTCATGTGTGTTTACTGCTGTAGGGAAAAGTGGTTCTTCATATTTTGCATGTACACCCGAATTCATAACAGATTCCTGCACATAGATCTATAATTATGACCTAAATGACACCACTTTAACCCATTCTGATGGTTTCTACAGGTTGGAGCCTGAAGCCGGGCGGCCAGCAGCGACTCAGCAGCTCCATGTTTGATCTGTCCAGCCCTCAGAGTCACATGCAGGTGAGCATGTTCTCAATCTAATCTGTATTCACACGGTGTTTCTCACCTTGTGTCAACCGAGACTAAATATAGTTTTATAGTTTCCACTGTCCTCAGCAGCTCAGTGGAACACTGCAAACAAGCCTCACAAGGTGGTTTTTTGATTTAAGGGTCCGAGTGAGGAGGTCATTTCGTCCCGACAAGGTGAAACGGATGCAGGTGTGTTATTGGACGGTTGGAGCTGATAGTTCTTGATATTTTTTTCCAGTTCATCAAGGAATCATCTTCACTGGTGAAAATATGATAAATGTATGGAGGCCCAAAGGTGCCATAAAGCCAAGAAAGGAAAATGAGACATGTTACATGGGAAAAATGGGAAATAATAACCTAATTTATATAATAAGGCTGATTTTTCACTGCAAAATGAAGTCCTGCATCTCTATGGAAACAACACAATTATGGAAATAGAGAGAAGTCAAAAATCTCTACTGTGCAGTATGACACAGTTATGATGCCATAAATCATGGAAAAAAAAAAAACGCTCACAAAAATTTAAATTCTTGGCTTTTTCATTTTATATAAACCTGGACGCAATATGTACAACATTTTTCAAAGGACCCACAGGTGTTATTGACATGGGAAAAAGGGACTATTTACGATAGGTACTTTACTACTTTGATTTTTAATTTTTTTCTCTAATTATCTTCTATTTGTTTTGTGTAAACACGTCCTGCAGTTCAGAAGAAAACTCCCTAAATTTTTATCGCACCACTGTTGGTCACAGCTGAGTCACTAATGGTTTCACGGTTGCACTACGGACCACAATTCTTTATTTATTTTATTTTTATTTTTTACAGAATTTCAGCCGATTTTTAAGTGAGAAAGGCAGATTAAGGCGATTGATTTAATGTTTGGTTAAGTTCCCCGACCTAAAGGCCCGTCTCAGATGAGTTGTTCAAGTACTGCCTGAACATTAAAAATCTATTCAATTGTTTCTGCTTTTACCATTTCTGGCTATAAAATGGTGGCATTTTGGCAATTTTGTAAATACAGTATGCCTTTCAAACCTACTGACAGGTTTTGAGGGTCAGGGGGTTAAACCAAAATGGAGCAAAACAAAACAAAAACAGCTAGTTCAAGAATTAGTTAATCATTGTAGCAAATGCACTTATCGACTTTCTTGCCATTAATGTTGATGATGAATAAAAACCACATTCCTGAGCTTTGGATGCACTGGTTGACAGGTTTTTTTCAGCCATGCTAACAGTTTCCCTCTGTTTTCAGTCTTTATGCTAAGCTAAGCTAACCAGCTGTTGGCTTTAACTTTGTGTTTACTGTAAAGACATGAGAGCGGTATTTGTTCTCTTGTGTATTTCTTGGCAAGAGACAAAAAAATCTTTTACCGACTGATGTGAGATTGAAGGAGCTGCGTAATGGTTATTAAAACCTGTTTACGGTCCACCTTAATTACATAACTGTGTTATTTAATGATGTATTCAGTCATTATTACTGCGTTCGGTCAGCTTGTTGGTCCGTCTGTTTCTGCTTTTGTGCTCTATTTTTGGCTCCATGCTGCTTTTCTGTGCCCTTAACTAACAATGAACAGGGGAGGTTGGATCAAAAAGGTGTTATGCCAATTTATCAGAAAGTGATTATTCATTTCAACACTTATTCTTTCTAGGAATCTACTCCTATGTGTCACTTGTGATTCAGCTGCAGCCGTTCTGATAGAACATACAAAAGTGGTGTTTAATCAGTAATACACAAAGGGAAACAAAGACCAGTTTGAGGTGTATTTCTTTGTTAAATAACGGATGTCAGCTCCTAATTGATTAACAGGAATAGTTGAGACTGTGTTGCAAACAATCAATCTAACGTCTCGCCCAAAAACCTCGATAAACATTACAATAGCTGATTCAGAGGCTAACGTCAGAGCGTGTTGTGAACCAACACAGATGCTTTCTTCACCTTCTCTGATGTCCCGGCTCAGCATGCAGTGTGTGTGTGGCAGTTAAAATGTTTAATTTGGCAGCATCAAGAGCAAACAGTAGTAAGAACTGAAAGCAGGAAAGTTACAGCACCTTGGCAACAGGTCTAATAGGAAACAAATAAACCAGAGTGAAGAATGTGAAACAAAAAGTGCAGCTAAGAAAAACGACTTTATAAAGAGGATGTGAGGGCAAAGGCTGTTTTTTTGTTTTTTTGTTTTTTTTTAAGGTCTCATATTTTGAAAATTTGTTTTTATTGCATTATGTATGTCTTAAACACTTGGAGATGTAAAACAAAAGCCATGAGAATTTGAAGTTGTTTATGAAAAGCAGCAGAAAATAGAAACACTGAAGTAAAGAACAAGTAGCTCAAAACTGTACCTAAGTAATGCACTGTAAATATATATAGGTACTTTCCACCAGATGTATTTTTAGTGAGGATAATCCCTTATAGATTCTTATTGTCACAGTGACTCTGAATTTATTGCTTTTGATTGATATATATATATTAAGTAAATTGCTGTGACATTTGGTGCACATTTATGATCACAAGAGGGAAAATTTTGGTAATTCAGAGCCTTTATCAGGTGTATACTGCAATTCATCTAATACTTAGTTTTTAGAAACAAATACCTGCAGCCATACATAAAAGATGGACGCTACACATGTCTACAGGGCAATCACAAGGTAGCAACATCTTAAAACATATCCCGCTTTATTGTCTTTTTTTTTTCTTCACAATGGGACCATAATTTTTTTAATTAATCTCCTTGAAGGAAGCTTGAAACTAGCAACACAGACCATAAACTCATTGGGAATATGTTTACTGAGGTAGCAAATCAAGGCAGAAGAAGAGTCATTTTCTCCTAGACTTCGAGTCAATCAGACTTATTTTTGCAACCAGGAGTCTCCCCCTGCTGGCTGTTAGAAACACTGCAGGTTTAAGTCACTTCTACATTGGCTGCATCCACTAGTTGGTCTCTACAGTTGTACTTTGTGTTTACAAAATAGCACATGTAAGCATGCTAACATGCTAATCTAAGATTCCAAACATGGTGCAAGTGTTACCTGCAAAACATCCACTTTCTACCATTTAGACCAAAGCGTACCCCGTTTTATTGTCAATTTTTCTCTTAATGGGACCAAAATTTAATAAATGAACATCATGTTGTATTGAAGGAGGCTTGAAACTAGCAACAGAGACCATAAACTCATCAGAAAAATGTTTACAGGGGTAGCAAATCAAAGGAGAAGTAAGGTCATTTTCTCATAGACTTCTATACAATCTAGACTTGTTTTTGCAATTGGAGGAGTCACCCCCTGCTGGCTGTTAGAAAAAATGCAGGTTTAAGTCACTTCTGAGTTGGTTTCACTTTTCAGACCCAATCTTTTTATAAACAGTGATGCTTCTATCCTCAGTTGTACTTTGTGTTTACAAAATAGCCCTTTAGCATGCTAACACATGGATGTAAAGTGGTGAACACGGTTTAGGTTTTACCTTCAAAGCTCAGCCTCAGAGAGCTGTTACTGTGGTGGTACACTTATTAAAAGATGGAGTTTTAACGCTGTCTTGATGTGTTGGTTTTCAGCTGCAGCGCTTCGACTCCGCGTCCAGCGTCTTCAGCAGCGCCTCCTCCGTGATGAGCTCCATGGAAAGCAGCCTGGGTAACTACCACTTTCATCAAACCTTCATTTTTGTCTCCCAGATTCCTGTTGTAATGAGAGGAAGGAAAATCCCTTCTCACAAAAAGGGACATGACGGAGTCCAGTCGAGAACACTTGCATTGTGAAGCAGTGAAAAGACAGAAAAAAAAAAAGATCACTTCCAAGTGTTTTCACTAGGAGCCTGGGAGATTGTGTTCCTCCATGAAAAGAAACAGTTTTGGAAATTGCAGTTCATGTTGCTTGTAGAAGGTCCTGCACAGATGATAACAAACCGTCTCTTTATTTCTTACATGTGAACCCGTCATAAAATAGAATAAAGTAATTGTAACATGCACAATTCGATACAGCTATTAGTTTTCTTTTTTGTCTGATTATTTGAATGAATTTATCCAAAAACTTCCCTCTTTAAACACTAATCAATACTATAGCCGCTGTGCAAGCTTATTTATATGTAGAAACACTACATGCTTTCATCTTCTCATTCCTAAATGCCACAGAGTCCATCGCCCTGTCCGGAGACGAGCGCGACCTGGGGAAGGTGTGCGTCCGGCTGAGCTACCAAGAGGCAGTGGAGCAGGTGTGGATCACCCTGGTTCAGGTAAGGTTACATGCAGGGAGGAGAAGGAGGGGAAACCAGGACAAAAAGCTCCATTGTTTCGCCCCCTGCAGAGTTTCTCAATGGACCCTCTGTGTGTCCAGAATAGGGGCCTCTATTTGCTCCTCTCAACGCTCTGTTAACTTTGGCTCGGACACTGAGGAGGAAAAGGTTGTTTTCAGAACCGTCCTGATGGATGTCGGTGTTTTAAAGAAGCCACACCGTGCGTATGAGTTTGTTTGCTGTAAATGCAGAGATGTGCACAAATACCTCAAAGGCACAGGGGCAAACAACAAAAAAGAAGCACCTCTTTCCCACCTCACATGAGGGTAGTGGAATTAGTCAGGGTTTGTTTTTGTCCTGAGGTCACATCAGTGCAGCACTTGAACCATCCACTGGGACTTTTAGATGAACAGGTTGTGGTTGCACAAATGGTCTTACTGTGTAACTTTATGCCTTTCTTAGAGCTTAAATGGAGCATTATTTTTTACTAAGCAGAGCTCTTCGACCAAATCCTGCCTTCTTTAGAGCACTTTAGCCTCGTGGAACTCTGGGCATCCCAAGAGATCTGCGCTCTTAAGGGCTTTTTGCTCCCGTCATGTTTTTACTCACTGTGGGCTCATTATTCACCGTAATGTAAAGTCCTGCACCTCTATGGAAACAACACAACCATGACTAGAAGTAGAGAGAAGTCAATAATGTCTTCTGTGCAACATAACAATGTTATAATGCCAAACAAAAGAAAAAACAAAAGTTGAACCTTTTTGATTTTTTATTTCACAAAAATTAAAAAAAAAATCTGGAATCAACATGTAAAATTTTTCCAAAGTGAGCCAGAGAGGATAAATACAAGAAAGAAAAAATGGAATCTACCTACTATAAATATTTTACTATTCATATTTCTTATTTATCTGTGACTATTGGTTGCAGCTAAAATACTAAAACACAGTTGAGCTGAGAAGTGCTGAATTTTTTAATTTTTTAGAGAATGTGGTTGAAGGAAATTGTTCCTTGTTTGACAAACTTCTAAATGAGATGTGAAATAAGCAAAAAAAACCTAAATCTTACATCTCTGAAATACTGCAATTTTAAGCTTAGATTTTCTA